TGTGGCTTTGTAGTAGAGCTTGAAGTTGGGAAGCGAGATCCCCCTGCTTTATTCTGCCTTGTCAGGATTGCTTTGGCTATTCGGGGTCTTTTATGGTTCCATATGAATTTTAGAATTATTTGTTCCAGTTCATTGAAGAATGCTGTCAGTATTTTGATAGGGATTGCATTGAATCTGTAGATTGCTTTAGGCAGGATGGCTATTTTGACAATAGTAATTCTTGCTAGCCAAGAGCATGGGATGAATTTCCATTTGTTAGTGTCCTCTTTAATTTCTCTTAGGAGTGTCTTATAGTTTTCAGGGTATAGGTCTTTCACTTCCTTGGTTAGGTTTATTCCTAGGTATTTTATTTTTTTTTGATGCAATTGTGACTGGAGTTGTTTTCCTAATTTCTCTTTCTGCTAGCTTATCAGTGCAGCAGATTTCTGTGTATTAATTTTTTATCCTGCAACTTTGCTGAATTCACATATTAGATCTAGTAGTTTTGGAGTGGAGTCTTTAGGGCTTTTTATGTACAATGTCATGTCATCTGCCAATAGTGACAGTTTGGCTTCTTCTTTACCAATATGGATGCATTTTATTTGTTTGTTTTGTCTAATTGCCATGGCTAGGACCTCCAGTACTATGTTGAATAACAGTGGGGAGTGTGGGCATCCCTGTCTTGTTTCCAATCTTAGGTGAAAAGCTTTCAATTTATAGTAGTTTTAAAGTGCCAGATGGTACAAATAAGAACAATTAGAACATAGTATTTTGACTTCTAGGAGTACTGATATAGACCTAAACAGACAGATAAATAACTTCTGTTTATATTAATAGTAATAGTAACATTTATTGAAAGCTTCCTTGGTGCCACATGCTGTTCTAAGTGCTGGAATATCTCAGTAAACCTCACAGCAGCCTTAAGAGGTTGTAATGAAACCTAAATCAGTTAGGTCACATCCCAGATGATTGCATAGCTAAGTTAGCTAAGGGGCTGGATTCTAGTCTCGGCATTCTCATAAGTCCATGCTCTTAACCACTGCTCCTTTGGGTATGGCTAGGTTTTAGCTTTTTGTTTTAAGACAGTAGGGATAAGGCAGTTGTTCCCCTGTCTCTGTATTGTTCTTTTGTTATGTGTAATAGAAGTATTTCAGAGTTTTTGGTTATAGAGTAAGCCCTGTTGCTGGAAATGAATTGTGTAAGTCATTTGACCTAAAAGTTCAGGTGGTGGAATAGGTGGTCTCAGGGTTGCATGAAAATCCCTGACTTAGAAAAGGTACAAAGTCAGGGGTGGTATGGCACCTCAACTTCCTAGTTGTAATTGGACATAAGAAAAGAAGTTAAATCTAGGAATGTTATTTGCTCAAAATTGAAATCTGGGGGATGTTTTAAGTACTTAATTTAATCACCATCTACAATTTCACATGCGGTGTTGACTTTCTAATTGAATGCAGTGGAATTCAACTTGATTTTGATTCACTGTAGTTTGCATACTTGAGAAATACACGATTTTGTTCTGTTTATGGGACTGGCTCCGTAGCTCATAAGAGAATCCTTCTTCTACCACTACTTGCTCTACCTGCAGGATGGCACAGACCTACCTTATACCCATTAGAGTTTAGTATGTAATTTCTCACTGACTTTCCAGTGAGCTGGGATACTCCCCTTGGGACTCTAATTGTAGGTCTTCTCAGTGTTCATGCATTATGCTTCTGTATCCTGGGGTTCTTTTCAGCTGTCATACTCAGGAAGTTTTTTGTCCTTCATGGATTTTCCCTTCATGGATTTCCTTAGTTAGATATAGGGGTAAAGTGTTTCATCAGTTTTGAGAAGACATTATACTAGTTCGAACTCCAGCTATACTGAGGGCAATCACCGATAGACTTCAGGTATTGTCTAGGACTGTTGAAAGAAGAGCATAGAAAGAAACAGGCTGAATCAAGTCAAGACTTGGAGCTGAGGAATATAGATGTACCCCAGATTTTCTGAATTTCTTTTCATGGGAACATGTATCAGGTTGGAGAGAAAACAAGATAGTCAGCTTCTGCTACATTATGGGGCTTTACATTTTAGTCTTTGTTGCTAGCTTTTGTTTTATATTTAAGAATCAGGACTGTGGTATATGATTTGCCCACATGCCTCCTAGTTAAAGCTATTGGTCACATACATATTTCTGATCATAGTGTGATCTCCTCTCCCAGCCCTGCCCCCTCACCATCTCTCACACACACAAACCAGAGTTCTTTTTCTTTTATTAACCTAATAAGTAGCAAATTATGTACTTTTATTTGTAGTCTTTAATTACTAGTAAGATTGAACAATTTTAATTTTTCATTTTTTAACTCTTTATTCATGTATGTTGTTATTGTCCATCCAGCATTCACTTCCTTCTTTCACGACACCATTCACTTTTTCTTTGGATATCTACCCCTCATCGTCATGAATATGGTATAGATGGGGTTGTCACACCCCCAGCTCTAGAGTTGGCTCAGTTATCTTTTACCTCTATCACCCCTGCCCCTCCACAGAATAAATGGTTCAGGGATAGGCATCTAAACCTAGGTCAGGCCAGTTCAATGTAAGATGTTTGCTGAGGCTTGCTTAGCATCTGCTGAAGAAGACACCTTGGAGATAGTGTGGTGTGAGGACTCACATTCTGAACTTGCTGCAAGCTAATTTTTCTAATATAGAGCTAGAGCCAGCCCAAAGGCTATACCAAGACAATGGGAGGGAGTCTTAAGTTGGAGCCCTGGTGCAGTCTGGAACCTCTGGATGAAATTGAAGCTGAAGTGAGCTCTACTTCTGCACTCTTCACTTGTGTGGGCCAATAAGTTCTTTTTTTGTTTAAGCCAGTTTGAATTGGATGTTCTTTTTTCTTCGAACCAAATGTATTGTGTGTGAATGTGTATTATTTATAAGTAGGGGCTCTTGGTACATCTAGTTCAATATACTAATGTTCATTTGCTTAAGGAAGAAAAGTAAAACTCAAAGCTATCACTCTTAAATAACAATATTTTGGTAAGTTTACTTTCATATATTTCTTTATGGATATATACATATAGGTGAATTAATTTCATTCATGTAATTTTAAGGACCTGTTTAGAGGGTCTCATATGTTTTTGGCTTAATTTTCTCTGTCACCTAAACACTTTTAGCCTTCTCCCTCAGATAATCGGGGTTACAGCCTGACATATGCACCCTTTCTGCATTT